TACCTGCCTAGGTCCTTATTTTCACTCATTTCCGCATTATCATTTCCATTTTTCCTTCTAAGCAAATATACGCACTTGTAAAGACACATTTCTTCCCTTTCTTCTTGCATAAAATGTCACACTTTGGTTTATCTGCCAAGAGTAATGTGCGAGTCTTCCATATTCGCGGAGGTGGGTCTTCAAGGCAAGCTCCTACGGCAGGGACTGCTAAGTCGGCGAGTAGCTGCTGAGCGTGCGGATCGTCCGGTGGCTCCTGTCCTTGTCGTCTGGGGCACGTGGCTCCAGCAGAGATGCCAGGTCCTCTTCCGTGGGGCTTGAGCCATCTCCCCTCGCCAGCTCTGAGGAAGAGGCCAGGTTCCCACACTTCCCACAGAGCGCACTGAGCTGGATTCAGGGCTTGGTGCTGTCTCGTAGGCGAGGAACAGTGTCTCCGTGTGGCTCTGGTCTGCGATTCATTTATTCTTCGCGACGTTGAGCCTGTTTTCATACACTTAAGAGCCCTTTCTATGCCTTTCTCTGTGCACCGTCTGCTCATGTCTTTTGTCCATTTTCTTCTTCTTCTCCAGCTTCGTTGGGGTATGATTGGCAAGTGGAATTCATATCTATCTAAGTCGTATGACCTGACGTTTTGATATACATATGCATCATGAAATGATCGCGGCCGAGCTAATTAACGAACAGCTCTGTCCCCTCGCACGCTTACACCGACGCCGGCAAGTGGAATTCATATCTATCTAAGTCGTATGACCTGACGTTTTGATATACATATGCATCATGAAATGATCGCGGCCGAGCTAATTAACGAACAGCTCTGTCCCCTCGCACGCTTACACCGGAGACCAGCCCCCCCAGCCGGTTTCGAGTGCGCGGCACGTTATTACCACCTGCAGTCAGTCGCCAGGCTGCACATCAGGCCCCTAGAACTCAGCCATCGTCCACCCGAAACTTCCCGTCCCCATCTGCCCATCTCCTCCCCCGCCGGGAAACAGCTGCTCGTGTGTACACACCGCCTCTTCCTTCCCCGCGCGTCTGCCGGGCACGCCGGCCTCCCCTGCCTCGGCTGCCGTGACGGCTGCTGCAGGGAGCAGGGGCTCCGGGGGGCAGGTAATGTCCCTGAGGTCGTGCTGTTATCTCCCTCAGACGGACACCCGGAGGTGGGATCGCTGGGCCGTATGTTTGTCCCGTTTTTCTTGTTTGGAGGACACTTTTCCGCAGCGGCTGCCCCTCCGACAGTGCGCGAGGCCCCTTCCTCCGCAGCCCCGCTCCCGGCCCTGGCTATCTTTTGACGTCTCACGGCAGACACCCTAACAGGTGCGGGGCGGTAGCTCTGTGTGGTTTTGGTTGCGTCTCCCTGATGACTGCGGTGTTGAGCATCTTTCACGTGCCTGTTGGCCACCTGCGTGGCCTCTGGGGAGGAAATGTTCGTTCGGGTGCTTTGCCTCCTTTTTCAGCAGGTTATTTTATTTTATTTTTTTTTGCTATCGAGTTGTATGAGTTCCTTGTGTGTTTTTGGATGTTAAGCCCTTATTGGATAAATGGTTTGCCAGTATTTCCTCCCATTCCACAGGTTGCCTCTTCATTTTAAACATTTTCTTTGCTGTGCAGAAACTCTTCGGTTCGATATAGTCCCGTTAGTTTATTTTTGCTTCTGTTACTGCGCTTTTGATATCAAATCCAAAAACCGTCATCGCCAAGACCAATGTCGGAGCTGTTTCTCTACGCCTTTGCCTGGGAGTCTTATGGTTTCGGGTCCCCACACTGCCGCCCCCCATGGTGCAGCCAGGCCCGGCCCGGACACGGCCCAGCTCGCCTCGCGGCCCAGGCACCTCCCTCTGCCCAAGGTCGACTTACGCAAGCTGAGTCTCCCGGACTGTTTTTCGCCTGCTATGTCCACACAAGCGTTTCTCCAGCTTATTCCGAAGTTTTCTAAAGTACTTTTTTAGAACAAACTTTTTATTTCGGAACAGTTCAAGAGTTACAGAAAAGTGGCAAAGGCAGTACAGAGAGTTCCCACCCCGCTTCCACGGCTGACGACAGCTGACGTCGCCGTGTGCAGGCTCCAAGCTGCCACAGCAAAGCGCGCAAACTGGAGACCCCAGGTCCGGGGTCAAGGTGTCGGCTGGGCCGTGCTCCCCACTCAGCCTCTCGGGGAGCAGGGTCCTTCCCGCCTCTTTCAGCTTCTGGCGACTCCAGGAATGTCATGTTTTGTGGCAGCCTCATCCTAGTCTCTGCCTCCATCCTCACATGGCTGTCTGCTTTGTGGGCTCCTCTGTCTTCTCTTCCTCTTATAAGGACACTTGTCATCAGATGTAGGGCCCACCCTAATCCAGGATGACGTCACCTCGAGACCCTTCGCTAGTTACTTGTTGGATCCTTAACTACTTGGAAATACGATCGCATTCCGCCGTTCTGGGTGGATGTGAATTTTGGGGGACACTAGCCCACCACACCATGGTGTTTTCGTCACAACTAAGAAACCAACATTGGTACATGACTCTTAACTCCATACTCCAGTCGGATGCCATAAAATTATTTTCTCACCAGGATGCCATCCAGGACACCGGTGACATTACACTGGATTGTTGCGTCTCAGATTCCTCTTGGCTGTGACCCTTTCTCAGACTTTCGTTGTTCTTAGTGACCTTGACAGTTTTGAGGAACGCTGTCAGGTATCCCATGAGACGTCTCTCAGTCGGAATGTTCCTCTAATGATTAGACTGGGGTGTGGGAGGGGACCAGAGAGGCAAAGTACAAAGTGACCTTTTCATCACACCCTGTCAAGGGTGCCTGCTCTCCACAAGCTCTCACGGTGGATGTCGACCTTGATCACCTGGCTGGGGTCATGGTTGCCAGGTTGTCCAGGGTGACTATTCCCCCTTGCCACATTGTCCTCTTTGGAAGGGGGTCTCTAAGCAGAGCCCGCACCCAGGGAGATTCTCCTGCTTGGGAGACTTGTCCCTTCTCCCCACTTACTCGTGTGTTCGGTCACTTGTTTACATATCCGTGTGGACTCCGCGTACTTGCATTTCATACTTTGCGTTATGATCCAAAATGTCATTGTGGATTTTGTTGCCAGCTTTGGCCACTGGGAGCCCTTTCCGGTTGGCGCCCGTGTCCCTTTGACATGCTCCGTGTCCCAGGGTTTTCTGAGCACTTTCTTACTTCCTGGTACTGTAAAACGCCGCAGGCTTGTGTCTTCCCTGCCCCCGCCCGAAAACAGCCCTTTCTCCAAGGGCCCGGCTCCCTGTCCTTCGAACCTGGAGTGAAATTGCACGCTCTGAGGACGGCCCAGAGCCGCGTTCCAACGCGCCACAGGTCGTTTCGTGCAGGGGTCGCTTCGTGCCCTGAGCCTGCATCCCAGCTGCCCTCAGGCTCCCAGTCACAGGCACCTCCGGGGACTGGGGGTCCAACAGGTCCCCGGCAGCGCTGGACCGGTGGTGGGGGCGTACATCTCACACTGTCCCTTGTAGAATCTTGAGGCCTGAAAATATTGTTCTGTCATTCACAGCCGCACCGAAGTGGAAATAATTTGAGTCCGTAATGGTAGAATGGGTCAGAGTTGTGACACATTCCCAGAAGCAGCCACACCCCGGGCCGGACAGCGTGGGTGGGGCTAAGACTCACCTGGTCCTGAGCAGACGCTCAGACCACCCCTGATACGTGCAGTCAGAGCAAACTCGCCCTGTTGTGGCCACATACCTCTCAGGCACCAGGAGAGAGAAGGGTGTAGGGGACCATCAGGACATGCCCGGGGCCATGTAATGGGGAGCATGGCCTGTGCACAGACCTGGGCAGTGTCTGAACACCAGCTCCACGCAGTTTAAAAGCAATGCATGCGCTCGTCTCTTAACTGGAGTCTGGGGCGGCTGGCTTCAGGGCAGACCCAATGGCTCTGACTTGGTGTCCCTGGGAGTCCCGTGGCTGCACCCCTCGGCTTCAGCATCAGGTCTGGGCTCGCACCCCGGACCACGGTGGAGGCAGGGAGGATGTGAGGCGCAGCCTTCCCCGCGGGCCCAGCCTCCAGGGCCCGACCAGCTTAGGTCCCAGTTCTGGGGTGATTCGGGGTCAGGGGCTGGCTCTGCCCTCCAAACCTCATGCTGCGCCTGGGGCCAGGTGGGACTGGGGGGGCCCGGGTCTTACCGGGGCGGGGGACTGTCCCGGCAGACGGCCAAGCTGATGCAGCAGTGCGCCGAGCAGCGCCTCCGAGAGCAGCGGTCCGTGGAGCAGCTGGTGCAGCAGGTGACGGAGGGCCAGAAGAACATCAAGCTGGTGCAGATGAAGCTCCTGCAGGGCCGGCGGCAGACAGGTATGGCGGGCCCAGGTGTGCCAGGTGAGCGAGGGCGGGCCCGGGGTGGGCAGGCCCTCCCAGAGGCGCCCCTGCTGAGCGCCAGTCTGGCCGATGTCCGTCCGGACCCCTCAGTAGCCCTGTCACCCCAAGTCCAGGAGGTGATGGAGGAGAGCCGCGGGCTGCTGCAGCGCAGCGCAGAGGCGGCCGAGGACCAGCAGAGGCAGCGCTGCCAGCTCGTCTCCCAGCTGCGAGCCCTGGAGACACTGCCCGTGCGCAAGGGCAAGCTCGTGGACCTGACCCAGGTGAGGCTCGTGGCCCTGACCCAGGTGAGGCTCGCGGCCCGGAGCCCACGCCCTGTCCCACGACCTCTGGGAGCCTCCCCGCGTCCGCCGTGCCTGGCAGCATCCGGAATCCCCACCAAGGCCAAAGGTGGTTTGGAGCCAAGCTGAGACCCCCCTGGCCACTCATGCCCAGCCGCGGACCCCACACCCATGTGCTTGAGGCCTGGCGCTGGCCCAAGAGGTCACAGTCCTGTGGGGGAGAGCTCTGTGACCCCTGGGGGGCAGGGCAGGCTACTAGAGATGAGCAAGCTGGTTCAGAGCTGCTGCATTTGAAGAGAGGTCCCGGGACTCCCCTGCAGGGTGGGTGGGGTGAGGTGAGCGCAACGCACAGACCCCAGAGGCTGGAAGCCACAGGAGGGCGTTGGGGGTTGGAAGCCCCATGAGCGGCCAAGCTGCCTGGTCCCAGGGCAGGGGCGCCCTGAGTGCTCTCTGTCCAGGCTCCAGGTCCCGGCTGGGGAGACAGGGGAGCTCTGCCTGGGCCCTCACAGTGGAAGGGCCTGCGGGGCACGCCCCTGAGATGTCAAGTCACCACGTGGGGTCTGGGCTGGAGAGGGGCACAGGCCGCAGAAGCTGGGTGGCAGACACGCACAAGGCGGTCCTGAGCGGAGGGAAGAGGTCTGTGGAAGAGGGGAGGACCACAGCGCTGGTGTGGAGAGGAGCCGGGACACGGGCCGCAGGGCAGGCTGGGCGCCCACCCTGGGGCCTCCCCCCTCCCCCGCCAGACGCCCGGGTACGGCCTGGAAGGGGAGATGTCCGTGGTGGAGCTGCGTGAGCGCCTGGCCCTGCGCGGCGAGGCCCGCAGGCGAGAAGAGCGGGAGAGGCGGGACCAGATCCTCCGGAGCAAGCGCGCGCGGAGCCAGGAGCTGCAGGACGCGCTGGAGCAGGTGGCGCTGTGCCGCTCCGCCGCCGGGAGGTCTGCCGCCCTCAGGTGGGTCCTGCGGGGTCTCCCGCAGCAGCCCCACCCTCCGGCCCGGCAGTGCCCTTGCAATAACTTCCCCACCCCTACAATTTTTTCAGACAACTTTCAGGCATACGGAAATGGCAAGGACATCGCACAGCAATGGCTTGGATGTCCCTGACCTAGATTCGGTCATTTTGCATCTAGGTCGTGGGTGTGACCTTTGCTATGTGCTCCATCTAGCTGGCTAGCTGTTCATCTGTCTCTGCAGAACCATCTGGAGGTGGCTGCAGGCACCTGCCACTTCATTCCTAAACACTTTGGTGTGCGTCGCACCTCCCGGAGGAAAGACGCTGTCCTAGAGAATCAGAGCACAACCACACGGCTAGAAAATTTCACAGAAGCCCCCCACACCACTGGCGAGCCTGTTGGTCCATTTCCCCAGGGGTCCTAGGGCTGTTTGCTGTAACTTTTTTTTAAAACCAGGACGTAGCTGAGATGCAAGCATTGGGGTGTCCAGCGTCTCCACGCCCCTTCCGTGAGGGCATGTGTGCACACATCTCTTTTTGTTTGTTTGTTTGTTTGTTTGTTTGTGGAACACCGGTGACTTTTCCAGCCCCATGTGTCTGTCCCCTGGCCTCTCGGTCAGGCATGGGCTGGCGTCACCGCCAGGAGAGGGGGCACTGGCCCCGTCAGAGCACAGCCTGGCCCAGGGTCTGGCACACAGGGTTCCAGAGAAAGTGAGTGTAACAGGTGTGGCGGACAGAAGGAAGGACGGTCACAAAACCCAACACTCCTGGGCCTGAGTGCCTGCTGCTCTGGCTACCATTGGGAGGAGGCCCATGACAGCTGCTGGGAGCTGCCCGAGGAGGGCCGGCTGGCCACCCAGCAGGTCCCCGAGGTGGCCCACACCTGGGAGACCTCGCGCTTACCAGCCGCCTGACACCCCAGACGCAGTCCGATTGGGGATCCTCCAAGGGTCCAAAACTGCCAAACAGGTTCCTGGAGCGCCGTGCGAGCAGCCAGACCCATGGATGGCATCGGTTCCCTAGGGGCATTTTCGCGGGCAGTCAGGCTGGAGTCAGCCAGGCAGCAGGGGGCGAGGGACCAGCGCCTGCCAGGGCCCTGGTGCTGTGCTGTGCGCTTAAACCGCAGGCGCAGGGAACGCGGTGTGAAGCGGAGTCGTTTCTGCGGGAAAAGGGCGGGTATGGGGGAGAGTGGCGGATGTAGCCACGAGTTGGCAGAGGTTATCTCTAGGCAAGAGAGGGGCAAGGGGGAGCAAGATCAAAGGCGGCTTTCACTTATTACCTCAAACGCATACCTGGTTCATATACGCGGAATGCTTTTTTTAAATGCCAACGACAAAGAGGTAGAGGCGCTGGGGGGGACCCCACCGGGGCAGCCCTAGGAGGGCCTGTGCCCCGCACCTGGCACTGCCGTTCACCTGTGGTTGGAATCCTTCTCCTAAGCTCGCCCTGTCCCCGCCCAGGTTGGAGGAGAAGAAGGTGGCGGCCCCCGAGCCGCCATCCCAGGACGAGCGCGTGCTGGAGCTGCAGCGCAGGGTGGAGAAGGCGGCCGAGCGCCGCAGGCA